TAGAAATGTTATAATAACAATAATAATAATAATAAATAAATAAATAAATAAATAAATATTTGAAGCACATGTTGAGACTGATTATTGCATTAACCCACAGTCCATGCTTATACATACCTTTATTGGTCAAAATCCAGTTATTTATTCAAAAGTACTTATAAACATGGATTGTAGATTTATATAACAGGTCAGCCTCAAGAAGTGCTTCTAATAGTAGTTACACAGTATAAGCAGCAGAAAAAAGCCATGCTTTCAACATATAGACACTACTTGCAAATGTGCTGCATATCATATACAGATATTTGATCTGCCTCTCTTCACATTTCTGGATTCTTAGAAAGCCATATTTTCAGGTATATATTTTTCATGTGCAAGCATTCGCATCTAAGTAGTTGCATTTTTTCCTTTTTATGTTGTTGTTTTGTTAAATTTTTTATATTTTAAAGGCTCTACTGATTTCGATAGTTCTATGCTAAGTCATTACATTTGAGGGAGAAAACAATGACACAAACAGAATTTTTAAAATTCAAGTAATATTCACATAGTAATTTTCAGGAAAAAAATCTATCCACAAAATTGCTAATCTCTACCCAAAAGAGGAAACTGGAGAATATTGAAGGCATTTCTAGTGCAGCTTGCTTAATACTGCACTTAAAAACGCACACAGAAAAACACTTTTTATTGTGTATCCATGTGGCAGGTGATATACCTGAACCATTAGTAATTGCTCTTCCATGCTTTGGGGACCAGTTCTCCAAACCCTGAGTAGCTCTTTTGCAGAAATTAGTGAATACTCTTACTTTATAAAGTGGAGCCTAACTGCTTTGCATCACATTATCTGTTATGTTCAGCCTGTTATATTCAAACTTTAGCTACTCTGCTGCCTTTTAAATTATCCCTCCCTCTCTCTCTCAATTTGTGCATCCGTTCTCATTCTTTGCTACATGTATGGAGGCTGCTCTTTGAGTGTCTCATTAAGGCAATCAAAACCAAGAGGGTATGTCAACTATAAGTGTCAATTCCAAGCCATGCAATTGTCCTTGAAGAAGATGCTCATTCAGGTCACGGTTACTACAAAAAGGAGGAAATGTCTGCAACATCAGCCTATATCAAATGGCAGCCACTGAAATAAGGCAAAGAGAAAAGCAGTTGCAAACTATTATTGAGTATGGGGCTCATGAGGTGGGCTGAAGCCACCATTAGATCAAGCTGCTTCATATTAGAAGAGAAAGCTCTATGAACAAAGGTTATCAACTCTAGAATCAATCATGGCTCCAAACCTATGTTCGTCTCCAAACCAGACACAGCTCATAAACTTCTCAGCTCACTCCCATTCCATCATTTCTTTTTCATTGTTCACTATCCCCAGGTATACAAATTTGAAGGCATTTTCAACTTATCTCTACTTCTTGATATAACTTAGATTGCCACCAATTCTTTCATAGAGGGAACCTAGCCTCCTTTGTAGAATTATGGCTTCCAGAATTTCTGCACTGGAATTTTGGCAATGTGAAGTATTTGAACCGGTTGAATTTTTGTAGTGCAGACAGACATTAAATCTTCAAATAACTGTATCACATTTCATAGCCAGTGAAGTATAGGGTTAAGGAATACATTGGGATGTGGGGAGATGCACCAGATTTCCTCAGTTCACCTGCCTTACATTCAGGATCTCCACCCACATACTGGCACCAACTCAAGGTAGCATTAATCAAGCTAGCTCAAGGAAGTCTGTATGCCCAACTGCCAATACTTTTTTCACAAACCAGCACTAGGAAATCTAGTCGCTTTGATGTGACTAGAACTATTTGTGCCAGTCATGCTAATTCATGTGCTTTTTCAAGTGTCATTTTCTGCAAAAATCACTGTTTTTGTGCACCTATAAAAACCCACCCAAAAACTCAAGACTTACTTCTGCTTATGTAAATAGCTTTAGTCATGTCAAAACCACATGCTTTCCCAGGGCTGGTTTGCAAACATTTATTGGCAGTTTGAAAATGTATATATAAATACAGTCCATCTTACAGATAGAAGTCAACAACAACAGCAAACCTCAACTCAGCCCACTTCCAGTCATCAGACTGGAAGTGGGTAGGAAAGCACAAATGATGTCAAATTTCTTTCTTTTAGTACATCCCTAGGAGATGTTATTAATATCACCTATGGGACTCTTACTCCAGGTCCCACCCATCCACCTAATGATGACCCAACATCCTTTTGCATTAGCTCTTGCTCACCTTGGGCTTTCAGCCATATAAGCGACACATGTTGTCTGTGCTGCTGTTCATGGCCATACTATGATGTATATGGTTCTATACAGCAGCACATCATAATGGTCTCCTCAACTGAGATCAAACAGCTAGTCATGCTGAAAAGTGGGGAGTCATGCTTGATGAAACAATAGCTTGGTTCACTGAGGCAATTAGGCACATATGAGCAGCACTGCTTGGTCGCCCCACAGGGCTATCTAGCCCATCATCCTGCTCTCCACACTCACCATCAGATGTCGCCATGAAGCCTACAAGCAGGGACTTCAGGCAACAGGTCCCTCTCTTGGCTGCTCTCTAGCAACTGGAATTCAGTGGTATACTGTATACTATAGCAAGAAGCCATTATGGCTAATAGCCATTGACAGAACTGTGCTACATGAATTTGTTTAATATCCTTTAAGGTTATCTAAGCTTGTGGCTATCACACTGCATGAAGTAGTAGCCTTTTTCTTTCCTATGCCCTGAACACACTACCAACAAATCTCATTGGCTGAACCTAATTTCTATTCAACACGGGACAAGAAGTTATACCACTTCACTTCTATTATTAATTTCTACAACCAACTTTTTCACACTTGGCGCCTTCAGAAGTGTTGGACTTCAACCCCAATCATTAAGGACGCTGTTGGGAATTGCAGTCTAGCACCGTTTTAAGGGACTAGGTTCAGGGAGGCTGCCTAAATTTTCTCTGTTCAGTCACATTAAGTACTTCTTTTTCTCCATTTAAGATCAAGATGGCACTCTATAAGGCAAAAAAATCCATGAACAACTAGCAGGCAGATGTCCTATATACAAACAGGTAGGGGCACAGAATTCAACAAAAAAGAACACCTTTCCCAAATGGGAAACAGAAATCTACTCCTATGCAAAACCCCTTCTGCTGCTCTAGAATGTATGGGAATTGAAACAAAATGGGCAGTGTCAGGCATGTAGATTATTCTTACCCAATCAATGACCCACTGGGATAGATGTGTAGAACCCAACTGATTGACCTCAGCTGATCTATTCACACAGGTCTAGCTTCTAAATACCATGCAGTGTTGTGGGAAGAAGCCACACAGTAGCATATGTAGGATCCTTCACTCTAGCTTGCACAAGAAAAAAATCACACAGGAGTTAATGTTACATGCCAGCTGGGAAGAGGCAAGAAAATGTAGAGGTACAAATGATGATACAGAAAGCTATGCATAGGAAGGGAAAAAAACCTCTGTGCCAATTTTGAGAGAAAGAATGGCTGCATTCCTTCTAAGAGAGAAAAGTTGTACAATTATAAGTACAGCAAAGGAAAGGAATACTGTATGCATACCTGCACTGAAGTTATTCTGTGGAGCTTTAGTGCCCCCTTCTGGTGTACTTTGGCAAAGCAGCTAGGACAGTAGTCTTCTCCACACTCTAAGCACACCTTGCAAAAAATAATAAAAAACAATTCAACAACGCAAACCAATACATGGCAACTTAGAAGTAAGCCCCACTAAGTTAAGCAGGTGTAATTATCAGATAAGCATGTACTGGATTTTGGCCTAGGTTGATTATATCATTTCTCACTCTCTTACCTCATAATGAAAAGTTAAAAACTGAGGAATGAAAATGACATGTTGAGGTTTAATTTTGCAAACCACTGTTTAATTATTCCGTCACATTAATTACAATATTATCTCAAATAAGACAAGTGTCTTCTTGCACAGGTTTTCATTCCATTCTCTATATTTGTCTGACGGAAGCTGATGGTAAAGACATTTTTTTTTCCTTTTTTAAAATAGACAAACTTGGGATTAAAAGTTTGATCTAAAGTATTATAGACCTTATGTTGTATTTGAAGGATCTACCAAGGCAGTTTATGTAGCAGAACAAATGTGTACTTACTCATTTTGTGCAGGGGATCTAAATGTCTTCCTTTATGGTAATTTGTTTAAAGGTACAATTTACAGCTGATAAAAATGTGGTTGAGCAAATTAAATGCATTTAGCAAGTTAAGTGCAGTACTGAGCATGATGGCAAATGTTCCAGTATCAATTGAAGCTACTGAATAATGTTATAACCAGCAGGTAAGTTCTTGTTTACATGAAAGCATTTAAATATAAAGCACATTGTTTGTAATTATATTTTGCACAGAGGAGTAGAAGCAACCTAACAGGTCTAAAACTGTAGTCTACATTAAATTGAATTTAATGTAGACTACCTACATTCCAGCAGGCCAAGTAGCTCACAGATTCCAAAAGAAATCTGGAAACAAATATATATGCTCGCTTCTCAAACAGGACAGGTCAGCAGAACAGAAGGAAGCTCTGCTGACCCCTCCTAAATGAGAAGCAAGCATTTTCACTTTGCTTTTAGCTGTCTATTATGCATACAGTGGATCCTCTTTGCGCAATAGGTCCAGCTGAACTTCATAGGTAGTTTACTTCCAAGTGAGTGCGTATAGCACTGCAGATTAAGTGTAAGCAGCAACTGCTATGAAACATGGATGAAAAATAAATATATTTATTAAGCATTTGGATTTATTCATTTAGATTTATTAGAATTATTTTTCATGCACGTTTATTTCATTTGTACTGTTTAATTTTAATTGCACTATGCAATGTAAGGGAAGAAACCACTCCATTCATTTTAAGGAGGAAGGATTTCATACACTCACGGAACTGTCATCATGATTAGTTATTTCAATCTCAGAACTAATTTAATAAAAATAAGAAAATGAAGAAAAACAGATCTTGTTGATATGGGTACGTATTTCCAACATGCTTCCATTGTTGTATTGTTCTCAGTAATACACCTTTATGTAATTTCTGTCCAAACTAATATAGCATCCTCTTTATTTGTTTTTAAAGCTTCTTGGTACCTCTAAATTCAATCCCTGATGCTTTCCAGGCCCAGTTTACACTCAAAGATGTATAAATTCTTCCAAATATCGGTGCAATTGTGTACACTCATTCTGCCTCTAGTGGAGGCAGCTGAGTTATGCTGGCTGGGTGAATGCTTATTCTGAACTAGTAACCTGGTATGTGTGCAGGGTCCCTTCTTATTCTGTTTTAGTTCAAATTTAACAGAAACTTTATAATGATGGTTTAGGTTCTGATCTAGTCCAAAATGTGCTTGTTCCAGTTGTTGGTTCAGCTTTGATTTTACTTCCTTGATAGAAGTGCCTTACTTGGCACCGGATCGAGATAGAACAAGTACAGCACTAAATGAAAAAAAGTCAGTGTTGTTGCTTCTTAAACCACCTGGAAAGACCATACAAGTAATAAGAATTTAGCAGGGGAAAATCCTATGAAATAGAACTAGAGACTTATGTACAGGTTTTTCTTTTCTTTTTTTTTTAAGACCACATAAATCAAAAGGGCAAGGCACATATTTCTGCCATGTTCTCCTGATCTTCTCTTATGTGGAACTTGTATCTCTTTCATAAACAGGTAGAGAAATATGTACTTTTTCAGCAAAAGGCTCTTAACAAAACCACAACACAATGGTGTTACTCCAAAGTCCTAATATTTATCAGTGTCATCCAAGAATGTAGGAATTTAGAAGTAAACGTCCCACAACACTTACATGTTATTCCCTAACTAGCTGTGTGATATGCATGTATTGACAATATCAACCACTGTGACATAAAGCAGCCGAGTCAATGGTAAGCTAGGAGGCACTCACTTGTATGGATAATAAAGTTCTACTGTGAAACAAAGAGAGCTGAGACAGCTGATCATCTTTCATTGGGTTTAATCCTTTAAGCATAAGCAGCTTCCAAAAAGTGTGAGCTAAAATTTAGAGGCTCACACAATAAGACTAACAGCACAAGGCAGGCAGCTTGCAGAGTCTTTGGGCATGTTTATGCTTTATAATGCTGTGAAAGCTTTGAAAGTTTTGAATGTTGAAAGAACACAGCTGAAAAGCAGCCATGAATGATCTCAGTTTGATGTGCTGATAAGATGCTGAGCAAGCGAACCAAACAGAGGCAGAGAAGAAAGGAAAAATAGTGCACAGCATTCCATATACAAAGCCTAGCAGGCCCTCCACTGGTATTAAGTAATACAGCAAATGGATGCCAACAAAGCAGAGTATAGATAATACAGATCGGTTAAGGTTGAGACTGTATTAGGTATTCACTAGTGTGAATCCATGTTGTAATGACAGTATTGCAGCTTATCAAACAGGTAATTTGTCTGAGAAGTTCTCAAGATGGGACAACTGTTCCATAGCACTAATTTCTAAAACCTCAATTAGCATGGGTAAGGAATGTGCTCAACTTTATCTTGAAGAAAGCAACATCCTTGTTGTAAAGGAGGCATTCTGAAATGCAATGTGTACTATTCTTTAGCTTAGATGTCCCAGGACATTTTCATGAACAATATGATATGCTGAGCAACTGTTACGAGAAACTGTTGCTGAAAATATTGCTCACTTTTGCCAGTTACAATGATAACTGTTTTATTTATTTATTTATAACATTTCTATGCCACACCCATCGCGGAAACCTTGGGGCGGCTCACAAAGAGAATAAACAAACAAAGAATAGAATAACATTAAAATTACCAATTACCAATATATTCAACTTTAGATAGTCTAAAATATTTTTAGCAAATCCAATATACAGCTACTCACAGTCCTTTGCAAAGATGAATACTCTCCTGGATGGTAATATTTAAATAACTTCACATAGCCTTGAACTTCTGGCACAGGACTGAGTTTATCTTCTACGCAAAATTCCTTATTTCTTTCTGTGCTTCACCTACTTACCAGCAATGCAGTCTTAGTCTCACACTGACCACATGCTTTCCCCTTAACTTTAGGCTTTTCAATGGATAAATCATTTGCTGCTTTACATGGCAGGGGTGGTTGCACTGGCTCTGGAGCTGCAAAATATAGTAGGTATTTTAAAAAAAAACAGACTGCAAGATGCATGAATTAATACACAGCTCTGATGTCAGGTGAATCAGTTGTTAGAGTAAAGTCACCTGGACAAATAGGGAGTCAGAACTCTGATATCCTAGTTAGTGCACACAAAAAAAGGATAAAAAAACACTGTGTTCAAAGAAAAACATGACCAATATCTGTTCCACAATATGGACTGTTGGTTAATAATTGTTACACAGTTTGTGTTGTCTGTTAGTACCTGTTTCTTAACTACTGCTCAGAAAGCCTTCGCTATTGGGCACTATACAAATGAAATAAACAAACAAATATCCCAATTTAAACTTTTTAACCATGATTCATACTGCTACTGAAAGGTTCCTTAAAAGCAGAAGTTGAACAAATTGTTCCAGTTTTCATTATTTCTTAATGACTACAGTTTTCCAACACTTTAATTACCTTGAACTTGTTCTTTGAGTACTCTCAATTTTATTTTGCCTGAAGAAACCTAGTTAAAGAAAGGAAGAATTCACTTAGCTTGACCAAAACTCAGGACTCATTATTAAAATTCATTTTAGACCTCTTTTTAGCTACACTTTTTTTTTTGGTTCAAACTAAATATGCTTGGTGAAATGGTTGTCCAAACAATCTACCATTTCTAAATCATGCATGAGATCACTTCAAAGCATTTATATTGGACCAGAGAACCTGGATAGGTGTAAAGCCATGTTCAGGTGATCGCTTCACCAAGAGACTGGTTCACTTTTAACGCAGGTTGATAAAAATCATCAAATGTTACTATGTGAACCAATCTTGGAAGGTAGGAAGGAGACAATGGTTATCAAGAGCATTCAATTACATGCAGAGCAGAAGCTTAGTCTTCCACTGCTGGCCTTAAATACACACCTCTGAGAACTCCTTGAAATTTAAACAGCAGAGTAATACTAGCAGAATGACAAAACAATGATGATAATTAAATGTTGTGGAGTAAGGGTTTAAAAATTCAGAGTTATTTCTGGTTAATGAAAATAGCTTTACTATGAACTGCAATTCTATGAATACTTACAATAACCCCACTGAACTCAGAGGAGCTTACTTCTGAGTTTAGGACTGTGTTATGACATAATGACATAATATGCTCAAATTCTAGGTCCTTCTGAGGTTATTTTTCCAATTTTAACTCAATCACACTTTTCCATGGGAAAAAAGCATGAGTCGCCCAACTCTGTTTTTAACAGGTGCGCAACAGAGATGGAGAAATGTTTCAATTAATGGCTTTTCAGAGCTACAACCATCTTACCTTGCCAACATTTTCTTTATTTTGTGACAACAGTTGGGACTGTGTGCCCGAGCCAACATGACCTGACTTCCAGTGATATCCATTTGCTCGTCTATAAAAAGTTACAAAAATACATCTTTACCAGAACTGATATGGAAGGCAAAATTTTTACTGCCCTCCTTGCCCCTCCTGCTGGCAACACATACACAGAACACGCTCTTAAAAATAGGGGAAGAGCAGAACAAGGAACAAACCCTAGAGTTTGCAACTGCCTGGTGGAGATCAGATCAAAGTGAGAGCAGAGCACAGGATTCTCTACTTTCTAACGTTTTCGTTCTGCTCTGTTTTGTTTTGTAAAGGGTTTCAGGATTCTGGCATGGGTATTTGTGTGTAACCTGCAGGTAGTTCCATGACAGGGATCCAGTTTTTACAAACAGTACCTGAGGAAGGCAAATCTATTTCTCCTTTGCACCACTTCAGACCTGTGCCCACATGATGTAACATGCCTCTGTGGTGGTGGAGGGGCTCTCATGCACAAAAACTAACAAATCAAGGAGAAGGTTAAGCTAGAACCCTTCTTTTTGACATTAAGTTTTCTAACATCTTTCTTTCTTTTTTAGTGGTGTTACGGACTCGAACATATGAGTCACGCTAGCAGTCTGAAGTGCTTCAATCATCTGCTAGCTCATCTGCTGTTTCTGAGAACATGGCCAAAGTGGGGCAGGCTTTCTACAACTCTTAACTACCACACCGTAAATCTTTGGTTCCACTACAGCAGTAAGACGTGAGAGCCCTTTACACACATTAACCATGCATACACTGAACATAAGACAGGGACCAGCAGGCTTAGCTGCAATGTGCATTCATACATACAAATGTATGCATGCAGGTAGTGTTACACACAATTGGAAACCCAAGAAAGCAGAGTGCCAATTACACTGTGTACCTGTGGATTTATCTTGCAAAATTACCTTTTAAGGGTCAAGGCTCAGTGGTACATCTATTGCTTTCTGGTTTCAATGCCCTGGTCCTGGTTTCAACGCCCTCCAGGTAGCACTGGAAGAATTTCTGCCTTAATCCAGGGAAAGCCACTAGATAAATCAAGGATTGGACTCCAAATAGGGCAGCTTCCTGCATGTGGGGTGCACAGCTTGCCATCACCCACCACCTATATATTCAGTGAATACACACTCAACATGTGAACTTCTGGTCTTATGTAATGCTATTGCAGTGGCATCAAAGACTTGCTTGAAATAGTTGCCACAGACATAAGTTCTTAGGAGGGCTCATGTCAGATTCCTGGTCTGGAATAAAGCAGCAATATCCCAAGTGGCTAGAGAGGTCAGCTTTCCCCTTAGCTTCTCAGATGAGGCTTGCAGCTTGTTAAAAAAGCTGTCAAGGGTTTGTAGCAGGTGACTGAGTCATACAACGAAGCCTTTTCCAAAATTCAAAGCACTGTCAACATGGAGAGGAAAACCCTGTTCTAGGCAAATATAATACTTCTAGTTCCATTTTGCTTCTTTGAAAGCAAACAGCAGAACAAATTATTATAAACTAGCAATGGAAGAGTTATCTCATCTTTAAAAGAGAGGCCCTAACCACCCAGTTTCTCAAATCTGGAATCCAGCTTTAAATGCTCTGAGAAAAGGATGCAGAAGTTAATGGCTATGATCCAAGGCAATTAGCAACACTTAAAGCTTAAATAGAACTATATATCTTGTTAAGTGCAGTAGAACACTAATGACTGAACCCTTACCAAGCTCTTACCAGGAAGAAAAGTTAGCATTATTATTCACATTACTGAGAAGGGGAAACAGATACAGAGAGGTTAATAAAGTGGCTCTTGGAATTGAAGTGAAAAGAGTTACAGATATTCAGAGCTGTGCTTTGTCTGCATAACATTTTGACTTCCTAAATGGATTCTATCAAATATAGAACAATTACAACTTTCTTGTGTTTTTGTAAATGCATGCATATGCACTTATAACTCGTACAGGATTGAGATTCTATTAAAAGATAACACCCTTTTCCAGAACAATGAAGTGCTCTGCAAGAATGTAAAGTGAAGTTCATTGGGTGAGAGGGTATTTGAAATTGAATTCTGATAACAGAAGCCCAATTGAGGAAAAAGACAAAGGCTGCAATTCTACAAAGCAATGTGCTGGGGCTTTGGGCAGAATTTTATTTGTAGCAGGAGGTATCTTGAAACTGCTATTCAGCTGCTTGCAAAGACAAAGTGGCTAGCCACTTTTCAGTTTAAAATCAGCTTTGTCTGTTAGCCATATGGGTGGCTATTGAAGTTTCTACTAAAATACCTTTCAACGGAACACACAGTGCCCCTGGGGCATTGTGCCCAAGTATTAGGAGGAAACTTGCTGTCAGCCAGTAGTAAAACAAAATATAAAAATGGAAAAATAGTGAGAAACCATCTGTTGGAGAGCAGAGCATAAAGGTTTTTGGCACATAATAGTAATGTGAAAGCTCACAGCTATTATCCAACTGTGGAAGGATAAAACTCACATGGATGGCCATGAACTTATTTATGGTAAACTGGCAAAGATGCATGACCTACTGGAATATAAACAAAAACCATGGGAAAGTGGGTGATTATACATACTGTTATGGACACAATTATTCCCATGCCCAAACAGTAACTTTATGAACACAATTTTATACCCTGTCTGTTCCTTACTTATATTACTTTTTTAAAATGCCACATTGCTTTTGAATTTATGTAGCACTATCTCTATACATGTTGTACTCTCTATATATAGAGAGTGTAAGGGGACAGCTCCCTGCCCTCAGGGGCTTACAATCTAAGATACAACAAAATGGAAAGAACAGGGGAAGGCAAGATGTGGGTAAGGTTATATAAGGTCATGTCAGATTTTTTTTTCAATTTATATCCTGCCTTTTTCCTACAAAGGGCTCAAGGCAGCTTACCTCTCCTCCTCCATCTTATCCCCACAACAACAATCCTGTGAGGTAGGTTGGGCTGAGAGTCCAAAGTCACCCAGTTGGCTCCATGGCTGAGCGGGGACTAGAACCCAGATCGTATGAGTCCCAGTCCCATGCTCTTAACCACTACACTACACTGGCTCTCAGATGAGCTATACCTGTAATGAATTGTTGGAAAATTCTTCCTGCCCCTGAAGAGATTTGGTGAAATCATTGCCCCAGTTCCTCTGCATGCAACAGGATAGAGAATTTCAAGAGGCCATTTGCGTATAGCTCTAAACAAGACTGCTCATTTTCTCATCTTAAATGACTGTTGTTTAATTTCATCAGATAATTTTTATTTGCTCTGCTTTTGAAATGAAGACATCATTATATATTTCTATATGCAAATAAGAACATTTTTCTATGCATATTGTTGTAGTGTTCTTAGGCATTTTGGTGGTTCAACTAAAAGAATGGAGTACAAACTTAAAGAAAAACAAGGGAACAGAACTGTACCTTCCATGGATAGCTAATACACAAAAAGTTCCCAAAAAATTAAAGGAAAATTAACTGGGGTCATTTTTTTAGTTTCAATGAATAGTATTTCACCTACTCTCTTTCTTGTTTTTCTCGGTTCATGTTTGATTGCAGTTGCTGCAGTTTCTTCTCCATTTCCTTATTTTCAACTTCCAGCTGAACCTTCTCCAAGTGCAGCTCTTGTATACTTCTGGAAACATTAAATTTAAACTTGTCACTAAATTATATATTCCTTCCTTCCTTCATATAATGACTTGTGATAGCCAACCGAGATGGTACAGAGATAAGCAAGCTTGTATTTTGAGGCTTTATGACTGGTCTATACAACTGCAAGCTGACACAAAGAGAAGTGCATTGTTTAAGGGGCTGGCAACATGTCACCCACAAGTGTATTAACATACACCAAGACTCCCCTGCATGCCCAAAAGACCACCTGGGTCCACAGGATTCTTGGTGGCGCGGATGGAACTTTCTACCTATCAAGCCATTTTTCAGCAGGACACATGTTCCTTCACTACTCTTATCACTCCACTGATTTTAAGAAAGGTGGAAGGGAAAGTCCCTTTCAAAAAAAATGCATACACAAAGGTGGTGCAAAAGAAGACAGAATCCAGGAAGAGGAAAGAAGAGGAGGCAGCCTCAACTCTTCGGACCCATAGCAATTTGTGATGTTGCCTGGACAGTTTTTCAAAATTGGCCGTACACCTATTATAGCAATTTCTTAGGATCAGGCTATCAACAGAAAAGATGCATTAGAAAGCTTCAACACAGATGTTAGTGGAGCTGCAATTCTAAACACATTTACTAGGAGACAAGTCTCATTTGTTTCAAGAGAACTAACTTCAAGCAAGTGATTTTAGGATTGCAGTCTTAATAGTAATAAATAGCTTGCATTTAATGATGCATATAAAAAGCCAACAGATTATCAGAGCACTTCAGAGACAATTAGTGGGAAATGAACTTACTTTGCTTTCAGTTTTACAGACATTCCAGTTTTTGAACCAGGGAGTACCACAAAGTTACTGACATTCATGATTGCCAGTTCAGGAAAAAAGCACAATATTTCAAATCTTAAAGGCTTGAAACCTGTTTAGGGAGGGGGACAAAAAGCTATAAATCAAAACTGTATCAGAGCCTATTATTACCAATTCTGACTATGTTGAAATAGTGAATGGGGAGAAAAAAGGAGATGTCTTACCATCAGTCCTGACCATGGTGCAGATACCTACACCTTTCTTCTTTCATAAATTTGAACCAGATTGTTTGGGCAATCTAATAGAATGCCATTTACTTGTGAGATTCCTCTTTACCAGAAATATCGATTGCTGATATTGATAAGACAATAGCTGAATGACCACACACTGTGTAAAATAGTACTTCATTGTATATGTCCTAAATCTCCCACCACTTAGATTCATTGGACAATCCCCAGTACTAATATCAATTATATTATTAATTACTGCTAGTACTAATCCATTTCTAATTTCTAATGCATAACTTTCAACACCTCTTATTATCATGGCCCCCACCCCAGAATTCATCTTTTTCTAAGCTAAAAATCCCCAAACATGAGTAAACTTTCCTCATAGGAAAGGTTTGCTGCTTCAGCCCCTTGATCATTTCACACTTTTCTGCATCTCCACCAGAGCCATGATGTTATTTCTGAGGAGAACTTAGCGGAACCATACACAATAGTCCAAGGGCTGTGGCACTATAGACTTGTATAAAGGCATTAGGGTATCAGACATTTTATTTTTTATTCATTCCCTAATGGTCTCCAACAGTGAATTTACCTTTTGCACAATAGCCAGAAATTAGGACCGTGTGCTCCAACGTACAACAGATTACACCCACACAGAGCTGTGTTTGCCATTTTAATGCCTCTTCTCCCTACCTAGTGACTATGTGCTAAGCCAAGTTCAGTGGTGTGGGTTTTCCCCCTCTAATGGAAGGACACACAGAATTGCAGCTTTAGAAGATAAATTCAGGAACCACTGGTCCTGTGAGAGAAAGCAGAATTGCAAGAATGCCACTAGAGTAGAAGGGTTTCAATAATGAAAACTGGTTTCATTCCATGAAGGTGGCACATACTTATATCAGGTATCCTTTTCTCCAGCTACTCTCTACATAAAGAGGGTCTTAGGTCTTCATATGCGGTGTGCGGTACCTCAGGACAGGGTAAGGTATACTGTTATTGCATATGCAAATATAGGGAGGCCACAGTTCAATGGCTAAGCACAGGCATTGCATGCTGAAGATCCCAGGGTCACTTTTAATATTTCCAGTTACAAGGATCAGGGTTTGGAAAAGACTTCTGCCTGAGTTAATGCTCCCAGTCAAAGTAGCCAGTCTTGGTCTAGAACAGACAAAAAGCCATGATCTAAGCCAGCTGCCTATGTTTGCAACCCTAAACCCATCCCTTGCTTATAGCCCAAAAGTATGTACCTGTAGTGGGGGCACTTTTTATATGTGCAAAAACCTAACCTCCCTTTACTTCTGATCTTGCTTTGCTCATCACAGCTGTTATTTTTATGGCCACACGACAGGCAGAAATTCATCAGGGAAAATTTGTTTTCTTTCTTCCTTGTGTCTGCATGTCAGCACATTTCACCTATTGCATTTCTACCTAGTTTGCAGACATTACATTCAGAGAGACAAATTTTAGGTTGAGCAGGGAGGAAAGAAGCTACTCTGTAACACCAAGCCATATAAATAATACATTGTGTTCAAGTTTGTTATCTTTAAATCAAAAACAAAACACTGAACATGCCCCTGTGGGTTTAACAGCAGAAACATTACAAAAATAAAGCAGACAAAGCTTTCTCCATCAGCCTATAGCAAGAGAAAGCTGCACCTTCTCCGTGCCCAGTGAAAGACCCAGTGTGGTGTACTGGTTGGTGTGCTGGATTAAAGTTCTAACTTAGAAACCAGGGATATCTACAGATGTCATGCCTAAAACTGCCAGAGGCACATTAATTTTCCTGTGTGTGTATGTATATGTGTGCGTGCACGTGCGTGCGAGTGTGCATGAGCAATTTTTAAAAAATCACCGCATTAAAGATGGGGGAGGGGGAATGAAATAAACTAAAACATTCTCCTGTTTAAGATCTGTCCATGTCCAGGTGCCAACAAATTATGCATTTCCTCACCCGCTGCAGGCAGCTATAGCAGCTGCAGCAGCTGTTGAATAGAGGCATGGATGTACATACTGAGACAGTGCTCCGCAGTGACTAGAATGTTGGACTGCAAGTCGAGAGGTCTCAGTTCGGGTCCCACTCAACACAAAGCTCGCGGGGCAACACTGGGCCAGTCACTGACTCCCAGCCTGGCCTACCTCACAGGGTTGTTGTGAGGGTAAAACGGGTAGGAGGAGGGTTATCTATGCCGCCTTCGGCTCCTTGCAAGGGAAAGAAAGGCAGGACAAACATATAATGAATACATAAAGTGTCAGTACTCCTTTCACCACAATCCCATCACTTTAACCCTTTCCTAGGCACCGCCACCCCACGCGATGGCGGCAGCTTCCATCCTACCCCTCCGCTCATCCACCCAACAGCAGCCCATCAAGACCTGCCGGTTCCCCCGGCCACCGATTAGAGTCGGAGGGGGAGAGAAAGGCGAGACGCCCACCCAACGAGGAGACGCCCGGATGGCCAGTCGCTTCCCTCTGCTGCCTCGAGCCCGCTCCCGCGATCGCGCGACGCAGGCGCAGGAGTCGTCCCCATGGCAACAGGTCGCCGCGGCGCTTTCCACCGCGCGCAGCCGCGAAGGGGTGCCTGGATGGTTCCATGTTACGAGCGCAGGGGGAGGAAACTAAACAGGAAGCAGAGGAGAGGAGGGCGGTTATTCCGACATCTGCAGCCACTTAGCTTAGCTCAGTTCCCTTTCATTACAGTGGGTTTACTCTAAGTAGGACTAATGCAAGTACACAATTTCTCACTATTTGCAGGCTCGGGGATTTAGACCCCAATCCTATGCTTAGACTGAAGCTCGCTGGGGAATGCTGGGAATTGTAGGACTTTTTTTCCATTCTGTTTTAACCCTGCATAGGATCGCACGTTGGTTGCGTAGCGTGCCTCACAAGTTAGTTGCTGTGAGGATAAAAAAAAAAAAAAATGGAGTGAGACCCGTATGAGTTGTCTTGGGTTCCTTGCAAGAAGACAAAAGGCAGGATATACATGCCACGCAGTAATAGTAATAATAACAATACACCAGTGTTAAGCCGGCTTACTCAGATGTCAGTAATGCAGGCTTGTAAATCCAATGTTATTGGAGCTCCTTATCCAGTCCAGCTTTTATTCTGAGCTTTATAGGAACTCTCTGCCCCCAGAATAAGCATGCCACTGTGCAAAACCAGGAAGAGTTTGTCTTGGAACAGACATCAATTTATTAATTAAGGGTGCAATCCTATACATTTATTCTTTTAGACTCTGGGTTACATGGCTTTTGACAAGCTTGATTATACATTCCAGGTGTTTTTACTGGCTACTCTTCCTTCTTTATTGCTTTACTTTTTTCCCATTGTTTGTTTTAAAATGTTTGTATTTTTATAAGATTTTATGGTATTTCTGTACTGTTCTTATGAAGTTTTGTAAACTGCCCAGAGAGTTTCAGCTATTGGGTGGTATAAATGAATAATAAGAATGCAAATAATGATGACATTCAGACAGAAAAAGTCCTACAATTTCCAGCATTACCCAGCCAGCACAGGAAGACTTTTTTCAGAGTCACTATAAAGAGGATTGCACCTTAAAAGACTTATATTCCTGCTCTTAAATAGGAATTCTACCAAAGCAGCTAACAATAAAAAACAATGTACAAAACTAGAATATGAAGCAATGGTTATTAAAACACAACAAATTTAAAAGCAAAGTCACAGAAAAAATCAATTTCAGGTAATGCTGTTTAAAAAGGCAAGGGAAAATAAAAAATGCTTTTTTTAATGTTCTGAAAAGACATAGGATTAAGCTGCAGGCAAACTTTCCTGGAGAAATCATCCAAGCCTTTTTCAGGAGCAAAGCTTGACCCCTGCCTGCCAATCTTATTTTACAAACTAAGCTGGGAATGCCTGGCATCTCTGAATAGCTGTGGCAGTCCAGGCATCAAGGCAGAGGTGACTGCCAATGCCTTCCCTCGAGCCCTACTCTCTTCTCTTCTCTTCTCTTCTCTTTTCTGGCCCACCCTTTTAATTTCCTACAGGCTCCCGAGGGTGGCTGGATCCAGACCTCCAACCTTGCTAGAAGCACTGCAATCAAAGCTAGATAACCCCAACAGGACTACTTACAAAGGTGAGTGTCTACCAGAAGCCCCCTTGACCTTATAGCTAGTCCCAATTCTTGTGCATGCACATGCAGGTCACACAATACAGAGTTTTTCTGCTGATGAATTCCTGCCTGTCACATTAGTATTATAGAAACAGGGGAAGTCCTGTCAGAATAAGCTTGCTCAGGTCGAGTTTCTGTGATTCTTACAATGACATATAGAAATGCACATAAATCTAGAGCTGACTTCTTTTTTCTGAGAGGAACAAATAGTTATTATATTGAAAATGTATGTTCCCACACACGCACACATCCCAAAATGACACACATGCTTTTAAAAGTGATTGTATGAAAATACTGTGCGTTAAGGGTTTTTCTCATAGCCCATGGCTTAGATCGGGGGCAAAGAATTCCATTTCCAAATAGTGATCAGGACTGTTTCCAGTGATGTGTGGGATCACAAAAGCAATGGGACAAGAAAAAAATACCAGTAAGTTGTTCTTTAAATCTCTTACTACCAATAGCTAATAGTTAGGAAGGGCTTTTCAAATTTTTGGAATGGGGGAATACCACCTAGAAGCTGGGAAAAGGGAGCCATCCGGGAAATCAGTGAGATGGATCATGACCCAGAAGGGGCTTATTTGCCCCCCCCCCCCGAGGTTTCCCACCCCTGCTTATCTAAACTACACTTAATGCTCCATACTGTATATAAACCAGACCTGAGGTTTCCAGCCAATTGCATCAAAGGGAAGTGAATTGTTCTTGGTTTATG